CCCCCCCCCCGAAATTCCGAGCAAATCCGTACATTTGTGTAATGGATTTATTCATCATTAACCTCCAACATTAATTACTGAATCCAACAATCCAATTATCCAAATAGTCCCCCCTCCCTTATCACAATGCTGCGCGCAGGAGGGATATTAATCATATTTTTTTGAAAAGTAAATATGATTAAAAAAAGTAGCTCCAAGGACATGGAGGAGAAGAGAGGAGAGAGGATGGCCTTTATAAGCAGCCGCTCTCCGCCCTCAGAAGCCCGCGTCTCCCCCTGTCTCCCGGGAGGTGGTATTGCATGCGCTGGTATTTATCGCACCCCATTCCCACCTTCCGCCCATCCTGGCCTTAATTGCCCTGGTTCATTTTTTTTTTTAAATATCCACGATACCAAACCTGTGACTCCCCAAGCCAGATCTGCCTGAGCTGCTCGCAAACGGCGTGTGACATTCTCTCCCTCTCCTGTATATTCTACCTTCGTATACTTTATATTAATGATTCTTTACATTCTTGTTTGTTTATTTAACTTAATCTAGTTTATCATCTTCCCCGTAATATTCCTGTGTACCTCAGAGTATCGCTGGGGGATCACAGACATTTAGTTTCATGGAAACTTCTTACAACGACAATAAAGCCTGAATCTAACAGGAAAAAGTAGAGCAGTAGCTGCTCCAAATTAAAGGTTGTCCCGGCCGACTTTCCAAATACAACCCCCCCCCCCCACACACACATTACTCCACAGTATTATTTACTCAGCATTACAGACACTCTGCAATTATATCACATTATTACAAATTACAGTTTAATCTTCTTATCCGCGTCCACCGATTCCCCCGGGGTCCTCTAGGGGTCAGCCATCCCAGATTGGTGATGCCTGTTCCCGGTTCGCCCGACACGCCCACACACGAATCACGGCCTCGGCGACCTGCACGCCGGCTCCGTCTTTCTGGAGCTACCGTTTAAAATAAATAAATGGAGGAGTGGATAAAGCAGAGGATGAGTAAATGGTGGATAAGCGACACCTGACTGCACCTGTGCCGAAATCTTCTTCCCGGACCGGTGGGCTTTTACGCCGGACAGCTGGGGACACAGTTGCTAGCTGGCTACTTTCACAGGCCCCCCCCCCCCCCCCCCGCATTCTTTTTTCAAGCCATCCAGCCCCACCTCACCGCTACAGGAGTGAGGCACGCCGGGAGGCTACGAACACGTAACTCAAAAAGTTAAATATAAAACGGAGTCCGATGTTCATATTTGAAGCGCTTACAGGCCAAAGCGGATCTGCTCTCTCTGCCCCTGTATCTCTCCCACGTACAGATTCAGCTCTAAATCAGCTTTGCTTGCAAAAAGCCGGTGCTCATTTCCCCGGAAAATACAGCAAATAAATTAAAACAACTAACAAATACAATTCGTAAAAAGACAAAGAACTAAATGACAGAGGATTCCGAGTTCTCTCTTTCCGTCTTTCTCTTCATCTCCCTCTTCGTCTCTCTCTCTCTTTCTCCTTGTCTGTTCCTGTCTCCCTCATCATCCTTGTTTCTCTTTATTTCTCTCAAGTTCTTTCAAGTTTGAGCTACCTAACCCCCCCCCCCCCCCCCCCACCACCACCACCCCCCATCTCCAGTGTGCGGCTGGCTGCCAGTGAGTCAGTGAGCACAGCAGATGGTGGACGTGAGGTCCAGTGTTGGCATCGCCCCTCCCTCGGGGCTGCCACAGCCTCCCAAGCAGGTCACCTGCCACTGGGATAGACCCAGTCACTAGCGCACACACATACAGATTCACAGACACACACACAGATTCACAGACACACATACAGATTCACAGACACACACACAGATTCACAGACACACACACAGATTCACAGACACACACAGATTCACAGACACACACACAGATTCACAGACACACACACAGATTCACACACACAGACACAATCCCATGCTGCCCTGCAAATAGAGCCCTGAAAATCCAATTCTCATTCACAGACACATCCCCTATATGCCTAAGAAGGTGACACTTCAGAGACACACCCTTAAACACACGGGTACAAACACAAAAACACAAAATTCCCGCATGCATCCGGGACGGTAACCGCTTCCTCAGTCTCTTTCTTGCTCCACTGCTCCTTTTACCTCCTACTCCCGTAACATATTTCTTCATTTTTTTGGAGGAATTAAAAACAGACGTCGAGAATGAGGAACCCAGCATCGCAGCACCAACCTTGAGCAGAGGGGGCGATGTTGCCAAGCGTGACAACGCACGTGCAGAGGATCCAAATGGGCAGGGCCATGCTGGGGGCAGGGCGCTGGGTCGGGGTGCGGGCGCGGTCGGCTGTCTCGGCTGGGCGGGGCCCGGGATTTGGGAGCTCCTCCCCCTTCCCGCTTAATCCCTCTCTCTGGCAGACCCTGAGAAGAGGAAAAGAGGGGACAGAGGGAGGTGTCCATTGAGTAGGGGCAGTGGGGAGTGCATCCTATCAGAGAGTATCAGGGTGGAGGAGGCGCCTAGCTCCCCCTGCTGGTCTGTTGGGCAGCGCGCGGGCGACGGCACCGCCTGCTTCAGCGCCTGAAGGTCCGATCGAGCCACTCAGAGAGTCTGATCTTCTCAGCAGAGGACTCTCAGGGAATTCCCGCGTGTAAATCCACTGCAGTCCTAACAAACCGGAGGAATTAAAAGTGGCCTCGGCTGACAAAGGCTGTGAGTTTCCAAGCAACAGAACTACATTTGGATTGGTGGCTGGGGGGG